ATACATAATAGTTAAGGCCCCTAACTTTTTTTTCAGCTTCTGCCCAAACACTCTTCTTCCTATCAGATTACTGGAAAAACTTGTCTCCTTTCACTTTCCTCTCAGCAAAAGCCAAGCACATTTTCCTAGCAAGGCAAGGTTATTTGGCAAACAACATAAAAATGCAATGTTTCCTTCAAGTCAATGTTGGCCGCTGGAGACTTCATCCCCAGGTAGTTTCCCAGCAACTATTCAGAAATGACCTGCCACTGCCTCTTTTGGGGATGTTACATAAACTTCCCAGTCTACCTTTTAGATTAATAGTTGACTCCCACCTAAATACCCCCAGGTCCAGCCTTGCTTAGCTTTGTCATATCAGACAAAATTCACTAGGTGCTGCTCCCTAACTTGGTGATTAATAGCAAAGCAACCCTAACAAAATTTAATGCATTACCTAGCTTTTATTTCTTCTACAGAAGAATCCTTGTGCCTTTTAACTTTAGACAGTATGACCTTTCAGCTTAGAGCTCCATACAGCAGATCCAAAGCATATCCAAAGCAACACACAGATCCAGAGGTTGGAAAAGGAGAGGACCAGGAGCTTACTCAGACCTAAGTTATATAACTCCATGACCTGAAAACCTAAGTCGTCGGACCTCAGGAGCTTGTAGATCAAGGGCTGCTAAGAAAGCAGAGTGACGTGTCTTGGACGTTAGCATTCCCACTGGACTGACTTCAGAGTCTTCACAGGCTCAGGAAATGAAGCGAATCGGAGAGTAAAAAGCGCGTTGGTTCTGATCCAGCGTTTGAAGCTTGTGGGCTGCCTCTCTCTACCGCCTCCCGCTTCTCTGCGAGCGAGACCTTATTCTCAGGTTCTGCGCCCCCGCTTGTCTTAGGCGGACTTTCAGGTTTATACACGGGCTCATCTGAATAGTGTCGCGGGCCTTTCTCTCGTTTATTGGCAGGGCATGTACGGGTTGATGGCTCTTCTTCCGCGCCTCCCCCCCCCCCCCCCACGTTTTTCTTCCAACACCGTCAGTACTACTGAGGTGGTGTGACACCTCCTTGCGGGAAGTTGGAAGCCAGGAGACGTGGAGCTCCAAGGGCTTTCAGGCAGGGCCTAGGGGGCCGACCAGCCAACCGCTAGTGGGGGTGATGCTGGAAATCTCAAGAAACCCAGCTGGAAAGCAAAACAAGCGGGACCCCGTCCCAGGGTAGACGAAGAACCCGCCAGCCGCGGGACGGGGCGTAAATAAAGCCGGGCGGGCGCAGGAAGCGCCGCTTATGGTACGAGGGGGAGGGGGCGTGGCAGGGCTGGGCGGTGCTGCCTCCTGGTGGGTGGGGCGCCGGCAGTAGGTGAAGGTTAGGCTGTTGCTTTTGATTTATATTAGAAGAAGGCAGAGTTTAGCCTCGGTTCCTCCCGAGCGCCTTTTTGCAGCCGTCGCCGGTGGCGAAGCGAAGACGGAGGAGAGGAAGAGCTTTGCTTTATTTATCGAGTTCCTTGGAAAAGCGGCTGCTTCTCGACGGCGAGGATGAGGATCAGCGCGATAACGGGGCTGAGCGCCTTGGTCTTCTGCTTCCAAGCGGTCTTAGCGGTGAGTAGCAACGAGCCCCGCGGGGAGGAAGCGTCCCCGGGGCGGGCCGGCGCTTCGCTCGCGCCCTGGAAGGGCCGGGTGCACG